AAAGTCACAGTAGGCTACTCTAATTAAACAAAAGAAAAAGAAAACCTCTCACTGTTCTTAACAGAATGACTTTTGTAGCTTTAATAAGAATCAAACTAATTCATAGAGTGAAGACTGTGCTTTTTATTATTTTTACATTTGATTAATTTCTGTATTTGTCCATATTGATTGTAATTTGCTTCTTTGTTCGCGGTTTACTTTTAACAACGTTTGAGGATTTTGAAATCGAGAATTGTGAAATTTCAATGAGAATTCATTTTGGTATCTATAATTTTAAATAACCATGATTACAATATTAGACATTACAATATTATCATTTTCCCCCATAATCGAGTAGCTCTATGAATTCTGTGAATCTCTGGAATTTGAAACAGGCTCTAAAAATAACCAACGTAATGCTGCCATGCAAAGACGTGTAAAAAAAAAACATTCACCCATACAGTATATATTCACCCATGTTGTCTTCTTGCTCATGAAGCACACTCTAGTGAGAGACACTGTGTCTGCAGTTTGACCATTGTGGTGGAGCAAGCGCAATCATAGGAACTGATCGATTTTGGAGAACAACGATGGCCTGGAACTAGGATGTGACAAAATCAGGGATTTTCCTGCATGTGATCATCAGTGGGATGCCATGGTTCTCGACATGTTTGCATTTTACAAAATGTTTCTATGTTGCGAAAGCAGATGACATTCTGTAAAGATCCTTTGTAATCATTTGTGTGATCATTGTTCACATACAGCTGTTATCATACGTCCACATACCCCTTGCAGAATCCTTAAAATGATTAGTTTCTTTAAAAAATAAATAATAAAAATAATATGTATAATTTATTTAGTGACATATATTAAAAAATATACCACAAGACAAAAATACTACAATTTGCAAAAATTTAAATAAATAAATAAAACAGAAACTACAAATGGTCAACACATTTTAAACAGTAAACTGAACTTTTAAACAGGATAATTTGTGTAAATATTTTGTCTTGTGAAATATATGTAAATGTGAAAAAGATGAATGAGTGCAGCTAAATAGTATTAAATAAAAAAAGAACATCTGAGAAGTATTTATGTGGATAGAACACCTTTAGTGGAAGTGCATTTTTTTAATGGATAGTCTCAGTGTTTCCTATCCAGCAGGTGGTGGCATTGCCATCCTTTTCCTCTTCAATCTAACGTTCAGCTTTCCTGCAACATCAGAGACTTGTTCAAAGAGACAAGAGACAAGAAAAAATAAGAGGGAATTGTTTGAAATGATGTAGACTGATGAATCAGATGCATTGAGACCAGGAATGTGAATTAATAAAGTAAATAGGTCAATTTTGATTTCCTGTTGACTTAAATTTCTGTTTCTCTATTCTTATATGACAAATATATCTCTAATGATAATAGAGCCTAATTGTTATAGATTTGAGCTGCTAACTAAAGGGTTCAAATCCTGCAAAGGATTTGATATAAGAAATCAATTGATATAAGAAGTTTGGCATCAAGTCTTTTAATTGATTTTGAAAGTCTCTTATGCTCACCAAGGCTGCATGTATTTGACCAAAAATACAGTAAAAACAGTAATATTGTAAAATATTATTACAATTTAAAATAACTGTTATCTATTTTAATATTTTTTTAAATGTAATTTATTCCTGTGATGCAAAACTGAATTTTCAGCATTATTACTCCAGTCTTCAATGTCACATGATCCTTCAGAAATCATTCTAATATGCTGATTTAGTGCTCAAGAAACATTTCTTATTATAATATAATATTATTTTCGTATATAACATTTTTGTGAAAATTGTGATGCATTTTTAGGATTATTTAATAAATGAAAAGTTCAAAAGAACAGCATTTATTAGAAATAGAAATTTTCTGAAACAATGTTAATGTCTTTACAGATCAATTTTTGATCAATTTAAATCATCCTTGATGACTAAAATATTAATTTCTTTTAAAAAAATCAAGCGTAGCGTTAGTTCTGGCAGGTCACGTTAGTCAAGCTCGCATCAGCTGACTCTCAGCTGATCCCCATCTACCTATAGAAATACGACACCTATCTAAGCATTCATATATAAGGTCCCTCAGTATTATCAGCAGTTTTCGCATTGCTCAATAGCTAATTACCCTCCTCCATCCCCAACTCCTCCTCTGTCAGTCAGGATTCAGCCATCTGATTCTCCTTTGAACCAGACTAATTCTAAAA